GCACTTCCAAAGTAGGGACTAAAGTTATAACCAAGATCAGCTTTAAGATACAAAAAAAACCCCCAAATATCCTTGATAGCTTGAAAAATGCAACATCCTCCACCATTCTGCTAATTTATTGTACAGTGGTACCTCAGGTTACAGATGCTTCAGGTTACAGACTCCGCTAACCCAGAAATAGTACCTCGGGTTAAGAACTTTGCTTTGGGATGAGAACAGAAATTGTGCTCCGGTGGTGCGGCGGCAGCAGGAGGCCCCATTAGCTAAAGTGGTGCTTCGGGTTAAGAACAGTTTCAGGTTAAGAACGGACCTCTGGAATGAATTAAGTACTTAACCTGAGGTACCACTGTATTTATATCCCACCTTTTTTCCTTCAAGGAGCTTGAGGGGCCATACATTGGTTCTCCTCCTCCCCATTTCATCCTTACAACAACACTTTGAGAGTAGGTCAGGATGAGAGGCAATGACTGGCCCCAGGTCCTTCAGTGATTCATCATCATGGCCGAGTGGGGATTTGAACCCTTGACTCCTAGGTCAAGAACTCTAACCACTACACTCCACTGGCTCTACACCACTACACCACACTGGGTAGTCTAAAATAGCTGTGGGATCCAAGATAGCTGAGGGTTTCCTGGCGGAGATGTTCTCTGACAAAGTCAGCAGCAGCAGAAGAAAGAATTTGTCCCCTTCTCTGAATGCAATGCTGCTGACCCCTAGTCACCAGATTTCAGCAGAAAGATTTCAAAAGATTCCATCATGAGACTGCAACATTGTGAAACCAGAATTTCCCAGCTAATGTGATTCCACTAGTTTCAGGCTTCACTTGTAACCATGGTTCCCCTCCACCCACATTCGGTTAGCACATCACAGCAATTTCTCTGGCCTTCTTCTTATAAGAATATTTACTTGGCTACATTTTTGTAGCTTTTTTTCGCTCCTGTGCTTGCATTTCTCCCTCAGTTCCAGACCAGGAGAACCTGTGTAATCTTCCAGATGTTGTTGGACTACAAGACCCATATTTACTGATTATCTGTGCTGGCTTGGGATGGTGGGAGTGGTAGGTTCTGCATCCCTGGGTCTGGTTATCTCTCGCTTGGACTACTGCAACGCGCTCTGTGTGGGGCTGCCTTTGAAGGTGACTCGGAAACTGCAACTAATCCAGAATGCGGCTGCTGGACTGACGACTGGGAGCGGCTGCTTGGACCATATAACACTGGTCCTAAAAGAACTACATTGGCTCCCAGTACATTTCCGAGCACAATTCAAAGTGTTGGTGCTGACCTTTAATGCCCTAAATAGCCTTGGCCCAGTATACCTGAAGGAGCAACTCCACTCCTATTGTTCAGCCTGGACGCTGAGGTCCAGCTCTGTGGGCCTTCTGGCGGTTTCCTCACTGTGGGAAGCAGAGGTGCCAACTTGAATAAAGTATTGGGGGGCAGGTAAGCCCTGTCCCACGTAACTAATCACAAGACATGGCACATGAACACCATTTGAAGGGGAATGCCCATCAACTTGAGGCAGGAGTACCCCCTCAAATATTTTATGGGGGGAGGGGAAGGAACCTCACCCCCTAGGAGTTGGCTTCTATGGCAAGTGACGTTACAGAGAACCACACAGAGGACTTTCTTGGTAGTGGTGTCCGCCCTGTAGAACTCCCTCCCATCAGAAGTCAAAGAGATCGACAACTAGACAACTTTCAGAAGACATCTGAAGGCAGCCCTGTATTGGGAAGTTTTTAATGTTTGATCATAGAATGTTTCGTTATTTTATTTATATTCTGCTGGAAGCCACCCAGAGTGGCTGGCACAACCCAGTCAGATGGGCGGGATATAAGTAAATACTACTACTACTACTACTACTAGTAGTACTAATACAGTCTGCAACAGAATTCAATACAAATCTGCTCAACAATACTGGTAACCCCACATGACTGAACCCAGACCCTGTGATCAATATGAAGCCCTTCTTTGAGTGGGTCTTTTTAGTGGTGGCTCCCTGCTGGTGAAATGCTCTCCCCAGGGAGCCATGCCTGGAAAGGCTTCTCTCATTAAACGGGCTTTTGGCCTTTATATGATGGATGGGATTGCAGCCTTCTTTTTGTCTTTTTTTCTTTTTAGCAGGGTGTGATCTGTAAGTCCTCCCTCTTGTCTGGATAGCTGTGTTTTTATTGCATGTTCTTAATTGGTTTTAATGTACAGTGGTACTTCGGGTTAAGTACTTAATTCGTTCCGGAGGTCCGTTCTTAACCTGAAACTGTTCTTAACCTGAAGACCACTTTAGCTAATGGGGCCTCCCGCTGCCACTGCACCGCCGCGGCACGATTTCTGTTCTCATCCTGAAGCAAAGTTCTTAACCCGAGGTACTATTTCTGGGTTAACGGAGTCTGTAACCTGAAGTGTCTGTAACCTGAAGCATCTGTAACCCGAGGTACCACTGTACATTACTTTGGGCCATTCTGTGAGAAAAGTGACTAAGAACAACACCAACTCTTCCTATCATATTACTCCCTATTAAGTAGGTTTGGGATTACAGTCCTCTAATTTTATGTCAAGCATGGCGACCCTATGGGTCCCCAGATGTTGGACTACAACTCCCATCATCCTGGGTCATTGGGCATGCATGCCAGAGCTGATTAGAGTTTGAGTCCAACAGTGTTCAAGTTCTCTCCTGATTCATACCTACCACTGAATTTATTTGCATGCGAAATCTTCACGCAGCTGATAACAATATAGGTTTGAACACCGTGACTGCTAATGAGCATTCCGAAAAACGCCTTTACAAGTCACGAAACAACTCCAGGTTTGTTTGCTCTGGGAATTTCCCTGTGCATAGGTCGATTCTTTTGTTTACTTCCTCCGCCCCACCCACTTTGATAGACAGGCACAGAATGCCACCTTGTGGTGAAATAAAAGAAGTACAGTATGTTTTTGAGCTCCTGTTCCTTGCCTTGCCCCCGAACATTTTAAAAACATTCTCTAGCAGCACGATTCTCAGCATGTTTACTCAGAAGTAAATCGCACTGTATTCATTGGGCTTTCTCCCAAGCAAGTGTGCACTGGAATGCATTTGGTGTACAGATGGGAGAAAAAGTCAACTCAGTGCAGTTTTGAAAGCAAATCACCCTTATTCACTTGTTCCGACACAATATGAGCCTCCTTTAAAAATGTGCACTGCTCCAAATTTTGCAGTGTAGCTCTCCAATATGGTTGGATGCATAGAAAGGCACATGTTTATGAAAATAAGATACAAAAATGCACTGGGTGATATCTTAAGTCCTGCTCAGAGTAGATCCACTGGGTTGCATCTATTGCCAGTCCTAAGAGTAGACCCATTGAAATGAATGACTAACATAGGTCTACTAAATTTGTCCCACATTTGGTGTGCATTTAATTCCAGCCACTTGTGTTCAGAGCATTGGTGCCATCAACTGGGCTTTGAGGGCACCAGCAGCAGAGGCAGTCTTGGAGTAGCACGGCTGATGCAACCACACTGTGCAACACAACAGGAGAGGCAGCCCTCCCCCTGAATTTTAGTGTCGCTCAGAAGGCCACCGAAATTTGAGAGCCCAAAGTCTGCCACTGCCATGATCAGGCCTACCCAGCCAGGTAGGTCTGAGCAACTGTCAAAGGGCAGCAAGGCTCTGTGACTGGTGTGTGTGTGTGTGTGTGTGTGTGTGTGTGCTGGAGGGAAAGAGGTGAGAATCCAAGTCAGGCTTCAGAGAGGCACACTGAAGCACATCGGAACCAGGAAGAGGTTGTTCTTGCTTAGGAGAAGTTGTGAGTGCAAAAGGAAATGCTTTATGGCACTTCCTGTTCCAAAGGCTGACATTGCCCTCAGGAAAGTCCCTGGCTACTATGTTAGTCAGTTTCTGGACAGTGTTTGTTTTGCATGTCATAATTCTTAAGTCTGTTCAGTACCGTTTCTGCATTAAGGTCTGATTTAAAAATAAATACATGAACATGAAAATTCGTATTTCAGTAACTATTCAAATACAGTGGATACTTGGGTTGCGAATGTGATCAGTATAGGAAGCATGTTCGCAACCTGCAGTGTTCGCAACCGGCAGCGCCACGTGTGCGCATGCACGGGTTGCGACCTGGCTCTTCTGCGCATGTGCAAAGCGCGATTTAGCACTTATGCACATGCACCGAAACTCGGAAGTAACCAGTTCCGGTACTTCCGGGTGCGCACTGCGCAACCCGAAATTGCGCAACTCGAAGTGTCTGTAACCCGAGGTATGACTGTACATATTTAACCAATCCAAACCCAAGATCTATTGGGATTAGAGAGTTTGGATGCAGTGGATGCTGGAATTTCCCAGTTCAGCTGGGGCTACTCCACAGTAAGCTCTCATCCAGACTTCTGTTTGTCCCACCACTGCCCACCCCCCACCCCACCCAATCTTTAACACTCAATTGGAGCAAATGTAAGCACTTGCCTGGCTTCGGCAAGGAGGCATGAGGGCTCTGACAGGGCCCTAGAGTCCACCTTTCTCCTTCCCAAGGGTGGGCAAGCACTTACCAGGCTTTGGGAATGAGGTAGGAGGGCTCTAGGACACCTCCTTTCGAAAGCCTGGCTTAAGCCGGTACTGCAAAGGCTGGGGGGAAGAGCGTCAAATGCCTCCATGCAAGATGGCATATTACCAAGGTCCACCCCTGTAGAAATGAACCTGTTGCACAAAAGTAGAATTCATACTGGTCAAGCCCACCGCTAGCATGGAAGCCTACCTAGAATGTGGCTCTCAGGCTCCTAAACCTGGACTCAGTGAAGCAGCAACCTGACAGGAGGTTCATATCTTTTTGCTTCACAACTCCAAAAATCTGGGGGAGAAAGTTGTAAGTTCAAGAGCATCCCTGTTTCCTGCCCAAACTTTTCAGGCTGCTGTTTCATATCCTTCTTTGCCTTCCCTGGGGTGGGCTGGGGGGAATGATAGGATTAATCCAAGAATGCACTGAGCCGGGCACAGTGAGACTAAAGTCTCCTTTCTCTCTCCCTGAAAGAGCTTCTGCATCTTCCTCGCAACACAGCTGCTTCTCTACCAGGAAGTCTCCTCCTGTACTGATTCAGAGTACAATATCCGTGGCGAATGCTGCCCCAGGTGTAATCCAGGTAAGAAGGCATGGCACCCTTGTTCTTCTCCCTGTAAACAGGGCCGGCCCATCCATTGGCCTGGTAGAGGCAGTTGCCTCAGGCGGTAGGCTGGGGACAACCGGGCGGGGTGGCAGATCCAGAAAGAAGAGGGGCATCTTCACACAACTTTGCTGTTTCTCCTTCAGCTACGGATAGGAACTGCGACCACCTACTCCTCTCTGAGAGCCAGTGTGGTGTAGTGGTTAAGAGCGGTAGACTTGTAATCTGGTGAACAGGGTTCGATTCCCCTCTCCTCTGTATTGCTGGGTGATCTTGGGCTAGTCACACTTCTCTGAAGTCTCTCAGCCTCACTCACCTCACAGAGTGTTTGTTGTCGGGGAGGAAGGGAATGAGATTGTTAGCCGCTTTGAGACTCCTTCCCCAGGCAGCAGTGGAGAAGGGAGTGGGGCTGGGGCACACGGGTCCTAGCCACTGCCCCACTGCCCCCTTCATTCACCGGCTTGGCCACACTAGTTCCCAGCATTGTCCCCACCCAGACCTGGTTGAGGAGCCTGCTTAACAAATTAGGATTCAGAGGAGGGGCACCATTTCCCCATTTGTCCACAGGATACAGAGTCGAGAGACACTGCACATCTGGTTCCAGTACAACGTGTGTTCCTTGTGGTTGGAGGACATACACGAACCAGTCAAACGGGCTGACAAAGTGCTTTAAATGTCAAGAATGTGAATCAGGTAAAAACTCTTCTTGTTGTTTGTTACCCAAGTGACTTAGAATACATTTCAAAACATGAATATGAATGCATTATACACAGGCAGCACACTGGTAAGAAAACACCATATCAGTCTATCCAAAGACCTGGGGGGGGGGAGGTTAGGTTTTTAGCTGGCGCTGAAAAAATGCCAGCAAAGGCGCTAGGCAGACTTCATTAAGAAAGGCGTTCTGCAGATGGGGAGCCACAACTGAAAAGTCCCTCTCCCTTGTCACCACCCTTTGAGCCACCAGCTAAGCCCTCCTCAGAGTATATCTATTAAATTTAATGAACGTTAGTTATGTCCATTACCTGCAATGACTCTACTCTGAGTAGGATTGGCACTGGTTGCAACCCTCAAGGCCTTGCTCTTTTTTAAAAAATGCTTTATTAGTTTTAAAAACAAAACAAAAACAAATCAATACACAATGATCAATGAAAAGCGATTCAAAATTAACAGTCCTGTGCACGCAAAAAAGAAAAGATTGAATTCATCCATCACTATTTCTAACATGACTTCCGACCCCCCCCCATTGTGATTCCTAAGTTTCATTACAGCTGCGCACTTAACTTTATCTCCCCTAAATTATTCTGTTGTTAATTCTGTAGCGATCTCTTAATTCATTCAGAAATCAATCCAGAGCTGCCAAAGAATCTATGTTATTACAATGTTCTTTTAAGTATCCTCTGTCAATATTCCACTCTCTGTTAAATATTTGATCTGTACGGTCTCGGAGTCTTGCTGTTAATCTTGCTAGCTCTGCATATTCTAACATTTTATTTTGCCAATCTAATTTTGAGAGTGTAGAATCTCCTTTCCATACCTTAGCAATTAAAATTCTTGCTGCTGTTATCACATACATAAATATTTTCCTTACCCTTTTTGGAATTTCATTGCTCATTATGCCTAGCAGGAAGACTTCAGGTTTTTTTTGGAAAGGAACATGTAAACATTTTTTTTAATTATATATATATTATATATTGTTTCCCAAAATTCCCTGATTCTTTTGCAATTCCACCGCATTTGGATCATGGTGCCTTCCATCTTCCTGCATCTCCAACAGATGTTTGATTTAGATTTGTACACTTGGGTCAAGGCCTTGCTCTTAATGGATGTAAGAAGAATATTTTCTCAGAATGTCTTTGCTGCCCGCCACCTCCATGGTTTAGGGTCTTTGGCCACAAGGTTATGCGAGTGGCAGAAGTGGCCTGAGACTGTTTTCATTTCCCATAATGCCCTTGTTCAAGGCTATGTCAGGGTTATAGTGATATATTAAAATGGCTGCCTGCCACCACCAGGCAGGGCCCCTGGGGACATGTGTCATCACTAGAAGGTACTTGAGGAGAGCTCTTGAGTCTGGGGACCTGTCCAAGGTGCTGAGAAAAACGACTAGGATCCTTTAATTAAGCATGTTCATATTTCAATGTCTTGTCTTACTGATTATTTAAATTATGCATATATAATTGGTCAATGTTGCTGAACTGGTCAGACATTTATTGATTTATTGTAAGACCAGTGTCTGGCCTTAGCTGGCTACTTAACTGTCCTCGTCAGCATCACAAAAGAATGAGCTAGGTTTAAGAGCTAGGTGATGGCGCCCTCCAGGCTAATGGGTGGCTGCTAGGTAGGAGAAGAATAGCCAGGTGTTTGTGTGCTGAGCTGCAAGCAGAATGGAAGCTGGGGACACAGAGACATTCCTGATCTGTGCTGAATCCAAGGCTGTGGCTAATGGAGAAGCAAGATCTGTAGGGGTTAATGCTATGATCCATCTCATGCTCAGGTTGTGTATATGTGTAGATAAAACCATATATCCTAAAGACACCACAGTCTCCATTGACCTTCCTGCCAAGGAAACAAAAGCAGAACAAGCATATAGAACTCATGGATTCTGCCACCACTTGGAGACTGGGGTGGCATGTAAAAATAATAGCAATCATAGCAGTGGCCCCCACAAACCCTCATATCTGTAATTGTGCCCAGCAGGAGCCCATCTAAGAGTTAAAGAAGAATGCACGTATACAAAGAACACAGTCTGCTCTTGCAAGCCTGGGTATTATTGCACTCAGTTCATTGACCACGACTGCGAACAGTGCTCAAAGCACACCATTCCTCCACCTGGTTTTATGGTGACACAGCCAGGTAAGTCTCAGTAGAGATGTATTTTTTTAAAAAAAATTATTTTCAATGCAAAATCACAACAAAAATTACAAACATTGAATCCAAAATAAAACAGTACAAACAAGGAAAAAACACACGAGAAAAAAGAACACAAAAAACAAAAACACACATCTACAAATAAAACCATATCACCAGTCTAATCTTGTCATTACATACATATACACGTATTGACTTCTTTCCTTTGTTCTAAGACCTCGAAATTTTTACTCTTTCTAAGTTGTTGTGTCTAATGTAGATTACCTTTATCTTTATACTTTTTACACCATTTTTCTCTTTCTTTAACCCTGCAAAGCATCATTCATTACATACCGATATGCTTACTCCAGAACAATGTTTTTTCATATACTCTTTAGCACATCCCCATTCTTTTAATAATTTTTCGTCCCCTTATGAATGCTGTGAGTCTTGCCAGATTTATACATTCACAAAATTTAATTTGCCATTCTTTCATTGATGGAATTTTTCTCCCTTTCCAAGCTTTTGCTCTGAGCATCCTGGCAGCTGTTGTCTCAGTAGAGATTTGGTGCAATCACTCTTCTGCTGATCTTAAAAATGATTTATTTATAGCTCCCATGTTCAGAAGAAAAATAATTATCGCAGTGAGCATAAACTCAACCGTAAAACCATCTGACTTAAGATATGCTTCATAGGGGGGGGGGATGGGGAACCTCAGAGCCAGAAACCAAATGCGGCCCTCCAAGCCACTCTAATTGGCCCTTGGGACTATCCCCAGGCTGCACCCCTTTGCACATGACCGTTTTGCCCGGCTAGAATATGTCCTTGGACTCTAACCAGGCCTCTTGCCTCTCTGAATGGAGGATGGTCTATGTGTAGAAACTAGTCTGCTGAATAAATTTTGCATCCATTATCCCACCCACCTTTGCTTCTGGCTCTACCAACCACTGGCATGTGTCCCTAGGAAGGCTGCCCAGAAGGGAATGTTGTCTTCAGGCTGAAAAAGGCACCCTCGGCTTAATACATCAACACAGTTGGATCACCACTGGTAGAATAGGATGTTGAATGAGATGGGCGTTTGGCTCTTCGTATGGTTCTTATGTGAATAGATTATTGACTCTCAAAGCAACAAGGGACTACAGTGGTACCTCGGGTTACATACACTTTAGGTTACAGACTCCGCTAACCCAGAAGTATTACCTTGGGTTAAGAACATTGCTTCAGGATGAGAACGGAAATCGTGCTCCGGCGGTGCGGCAGCAGGAAGCCCCATTAGCTAAAGTGGTGCTTCAGGTTAAGAACAGTTTCAGGTTAAGAACGGACCTCCGGAACGAATTAAGTACTTAACCTGAGCTACCACTGTACAATAAGACATAAGGACACAAGATGAGGCCTGTTGGACCAGGCCAAAGGCCTCTTCTGGTTCACGATCCTGATCTCACAGCGACCAAACATATGCCCCAACACACAATCAGGACATAAGCATGGAAGGTGCAAAGGGCTCTAAATTTTGTAGCAGCATATAAAATATTCCGCTTATTTCATTCTTTTTCAGGCACAGAAACCAATGACACCCAGTTCGTACCCTGTCCTCCTGGGACCTATTCAGAGACTGAGATGTCCACCTCCTGTGAACCTTGGACTAAGTAGGTGCCACTAAAGACTCTCTCACAGCTGCATTTCCAGTTTGTGGCTGTGTGATGCCAGTCTTAATTCTACATACACCTCTTTCCATTCAGTGCTGTTTCCTTCCCATTACTGCTAGGAAGTTAAAGAACTAAGCATGAAGATGACATACTTAGTGAGCTGTTATCTTGGTTTGTACAAAGCTTAAACAGAGGTTAGATTATATCCAGGTCCAGAAAAACTGAAAGACAAATAGATCCACATTTGGCAGACGAATATGTAAATCGGATCTTACTTATTTGCCATTTTTCACAATTCCTGAATGTTGCAATACAGCTGTCGGCTGAAATAACGTATCAATTGTTTTCTCTTAAAAGACATATTTAAAGATAAAAGTACATTGAGAATGGGGGAAGAAATTCAATTTTGTTTGCTTTTTGAAACAAAGCTACCAATTTTCTGCTTCTCTAATCAATACTTTATTCAGAAAACAATTATCCTTCAAAATTCCCAGTACCACGAATGTTGCAATGCAATTCTACAACCAATGTTTACTACAAAAAAATGTATATATTAGGGGTAACTGTGCATAAAAATGCACACATTCGTGAAAATAACATACACAAATGCATTACATTAGGGAGCATGCCTTTCAACAATGTGTGCATTAGTCAAAACAGCATAGAAAAATGTGTATATCAGGAGAAATTTGCACTAAAATTACTATGTAATTTTCATGAGGATTTTTTTAAAAAAGAAAAATTGCAATTTGATGCAACCCCCCCCCATATCCATATCCACACACACACACACACACACACACACACACCATTTAAGATAAGAAAAATGAGAAACTGAGGGAAACTGAAACTGACCGATTCACTAATTCCTTGCAAATTAGAAGGGGGAAGGAGGAAGCAAGCAAGCAAGATTGTCAGCTAACATTAACAATAACTATATCTTACTGAACCTAATTTAAATGCGTAAGTTAATAAAGACAGCCTGGGTATTCCCAAATAAGTATCCAAATGAAATTGACAATTATAATCTGTATGCACAAACACAGAAAGGTCAGAGAAATCTATCACTGAGTAGTAGATTGTCCATCCAGCTCGTTTCAGCCACAAGCAGTTGCAGGGTCCATTTTTACTGCCCTGCTGTTAGTCTCCACAAATATCAAGCCTTCTTCTGAACATTCACCCCTGATTTAACTCTTTCTGTTCAATTTTCAGTTGCAGTAAGGCAGGCATGATAGAAGAACGAGCCGGCACAGCAGTTTCCAATGCAGTTTGCGCATGTGTTGGCCAGAAACAGGTGCCTGTGCCGGTATTTGTAGCTATTACTGCCATTCTTGGTCTGCTGGTCCTTGCCTTAATATGTGGCTTCATAATATGGCAATGGAGGAAGCGCATCAAAAAACGTAAGTGTGCAACGAATGCATGTGTAGTTAAGCAAAAACAAATCCAGAACCTGCATTCCTGTGTCTTGCAAATAGAACTCTACTCTGAGCAGTCATAAATCTTCCCCAACCCCAGTTCATTTGGTTTGCTTGCCTTTTGCTTGATTGGAGAGGACAAAGAAGGTATACTTGGCTTTTAAGCTAGAGATGAGGGACATCAGGCCTAGGGGAGTCCAATGCGGCCCTCCAGGCCTCTGTAAGTGGCCCTCAGAGCTCTCTCCAGGCCACGCCCATCATTGGCACTGCTCTGCATTGTCTGGAACATGTCCATAACCTCTGAATATGCTTTTTGTATGCCTGGATGGAGGATACAGGGGGAGGGAGTGCAGAAACTGCCAGGTGTACAGAGGTAAATTTTACATTCATTCCTCAGCCCATTTATCTATCTGGTTCCATCCACTACTGCCATGTGACTCTCGGAAAATTGTCTGGAAGGGAATTCGGCCCTTGATCTGAAAAAAGGGTTTACCAAGCCCTGTCCAAAGTGAAATACTTTTGATGGACAGATGTCATTCAACTTCTCTCTGGCTTGCTTGATCAGTGATGTCTCCTTAACACATGCAAGTTGGTTCTTTTATAGCACACCTGTGATGTGCAGAGGATAAGGAACCACTGAGGCTCTTATTAACCTCAGTGGATTAGTATGGGTTGTATCTAACTAAATTAGAGTAAACCCACTGAAGTTAGTGGACCTGAGTTAGTCATATCCATTAATTTATTTTCTTTTTCCCCCTTTTTTAAAAAAGATATTTATTAGAGTTTTACAAAATGAAAAAAGAAAAATACAAAATAAAAATAGTTAAAAAACAATTCCTTCTTTCCATCACTTATCTTTCATTTGCTTATTTCCCGGACGTCCTCACACTTCCCTTTTTTGTATTCCAATTCAATTTACTATTTCAGCAAATCCTTTCCCTCTTTGTTTATCCTAGTCTTTAATCTTAAAATATTGTAACCTTAAATTTTTACCTGTTAATAATCCATTTTTTCATATTCCTTATATCGTTATAGCTAAAAACCACTTAACTTCTTATCCAACATCATTCTAACATTCATTAATTTTACAATATTTCTGTAAATAGTCTTTAAATTTCTTCCAATCTATATCTATTAATTTCTATGGGTCTACTCTGAGTAGAACTTAGTTGGCTGCAACCTCAAGCCAACAGGTTCAAATTAGGAGAAAGGGGTTTTTGGTTTTGCCTTTTTTAAGCTAAACATTAAGGAGGGCCAGTCTGCCTGGTCAATGCTGCTCCTTCTATTCTCAAATGGAGGCATTTTAGAAAATCTCATCTAGAAATGTCTTCTACTGGGTTTTTGAAAAGAAAAAAAAGCTCTTCTCTTCTTCTTCACAGGTGCTGCCAGAGTACAAGTGAGTATTCTTTTATATATGCCTTTTACAACTTCTTTTCTTCTGCCCACATTCCTTTCAAAATGCAATTTCAGCATATATTAAGGGTTGCTATTGCACTTTCTCTTTCTCCGTCTTGCAGTGTTGCCCCTCTAAGCTTCCTGCTCTCTTAAAGACTTCCACTAACCCCCACCCACCAGGGGTTGCCGACTCTATAGAGCCGAGTTGCCTTTGCTCCCCCCTCAATACTGTTGGCAGAGAGTTGGGCCCCCTCAATGTTGAGAGGGCAGCGGAGGCCGCGTGTGAAGCCAAGAGTAGAACGGCTTCAGTTGCTGGCTCCTTCTGAGAGCACGAGAGAAGGAGCCCTTGGCTATAGATGCTGACGAGGATGCAAAGTCACATGTGTGGCATCTCTACTGCCCACTTTGGCCTGCAACTTCTTCCTGGATTATCTGCCACAGGGATGGGGAAACTCAGGCTTTAATTTGTTGTATTTTATCTTGTTAAGTTGCCTTCTGGTGTTTTCTTTTGCATAAAGTGACTGATACAAGTAACAAATGGATAAAGTACTGATGAAAATCAGTAAGATGTGGGGCAACCTCTCCTAAAAGTGTCAGAGAAATTCCACACCTCCCCAAGGAAGCAGCAGGGAAACCACCCCTGTTTTCCTTTTCTCCTCAATAGCAGGGGAAGAATAGTCTCCAGAAACTGAGAATGTTGGTGTCTACACCAGGGATGATGAACCTGCTGCCCTCCAGATGTTGCTGAATCCAGCTCTCAGTCAGTCCCAACTAGCATGGCCAATGATCAGGAGTTATGGGAAGTGTAGTCATGCAACATCTAGGGGGGCACCAGATTCTCTCCCCACCTGGGTCTACATCCATGCAGGAAGACTTGGGAACTGTGGGTAATATCCAACCAAGTACTACTCAGGGTAGATGCACCAAAGTTAAGGAACCCAATTTAGTCATGACCATTAATTTCAATGGATTCCCATAGAGGAGAGGACTAACATTGCATACAACCCTGTACATTTGTGAGAGACACTGGAGATCTCTAATGGGCAGTTTTCCGCACCTCCCACCAAACTGCAATCCCCAGATCCTTTGTGGGAAAACTAGGACAGTTACATTGGTATAAAATTGATTTCAACGTAGTGTAAAAAATATCCAGTGTTTATTCAGTAAAGCACCTTACCCCTTGATGGTGCTGTTGTGATCAGAAGTGGAATCAGAGTTGGTGCTGGAGGAAATTCAGCATTGCTTGAATCCATCAATATATTGTATTGATTTTAAACAAATCTTCCTTGTTCTAGGAGGAACAACGAAATGGAAATTATCTCCCTGTTCAAGAGAATGACAATATGGTGGCACCTATGCAGGAAACGGGTCAACACCCTGGAGAACCAGCATTCACAATGGCATGAGTGACCAGAATTTTTGGTTCAGGAAGCCCTGGTGCACCTTGCAAGCAACAGCCGTGGACATATGCACTGGATGAACTTTTAGAGAAGGGGAAACACATTAGTTAATGCAATATAAAACAGGAAGTGGCTATTTTCCCCTCTGAGCTTCTCATCATCCATCTTGAAGAGGCAAGTTTCAGTGACGAAAGTGGAAGATGTGGAAATCTTCACTGAAGGACAGATCAAGGCTGAAGAGAGAACATATCTAGGGGAAAAGGAGAAGACCATCAAACTATGAAATTCATACCAGAAGATATAGTGATGGCCACCAACTTGGATGACTTTAAAAGACAAATTCATGAAGGAAATGGATTTGTATGGACACTATTCAGGTCCTGCTTGTAGCTATCTGGTTGGACATTGCGAGAACAGAAGGCAGGGCATATTGGCCTTTGGTCTGATCCCCAGCAGGGCTCTTCTGGTATTCTGAAAGAAGGCAGAGTGTTTCTGACACAGGAGGTTCACTACATCAATAAAACAATGCATTTCCCAGGGTCTGAAACCAAGCCGGAATTGGGGGAGGATTTTGCTCTGTCCCTTTGCTCCTCCACCAGTCAGGCCTTCGCAGAGATTGGTGCTGTCTTTCTAGGGAGTTCTGACACTAATATCAGATGGTGCAGGGAATGCTTGGGCGATGCCTTGTGCCTGGAAACTCTCCCAGGAAATGATATAAGCTTCACTCAATATTTCTCAGATGGTGGAGGCAGGGAAACCCAAATTTACTTCCACCTGCTCTTTAGATGGGAATGAAATCATACTCTAGGAGCGTGAAAAATCTGTGTGTGTGTGTGTCTGTGTGTCTCTGTGTGTAACATTACTCCATACTGAACACAATGAGTTCTGCTTTGCGAGAGTGTTGTCAGAGGCAGTATCCAGGGTCCAATCCCAGCTCACAGACTTGGGCAAAACCCTGACAGATCATGGGCAAAATGGAGCGCAACCAGCAGAGCATTGAGTGACTAGCCAATGTAACACCATCTGTCCAAGCAACCAAGCAGCAGGAAAGAGCAGGCTGCACCCATAAAAAGAGCTGCTGGAATACCAGCAGCTGGGAATCACAAGTGAGAAGAGCCCTGTTGCATTCAGGTCCTGCTTGTGGGCTTCCCATTGAGGCATCTGGTAGGCCACTGAGAAGCGGATGCTGGACTAGACAGGCCTTTGACCTGATCTAACAGGGCATCTCCTATGTGCTTAGGTTCTCCAGGCCAGTAGTGTAGGAGTTTTGCCTTTCCAAGTCTGTGGTGCCTTAGGGTGTGACAGGCACGTGTGGCCTACCAGATGGGATCTGAAGCTGGATCAACATTGGGAAAGGGAGAGCACTGCAACATCCTGGGCTACTGGCAAGACTTGGCTAGAGTCCAAGTAAGGTCACAGACAGCAAGGCCAAGAGGCAGCTGAGAGCAGTGCAGGATTCAAAGTGCAGGTAGATATCAAGAAAACCACAGACCAGGAATTAGGAAACTTTTTCAGCCAAGGGCCACATTCCCTTCCAGGCAACCTTTTGAGGGCCACATACCAGTGGTGGACAGGGCCAGAGACAGGGGTGGAAGGGGGGGGCAACAAAAATCACATTTGCCTTCATTCAGCAGGCTAGTTTCTATGCACGACCCGTCTCTATCCTCATGCAAGCTGGCAAGACCCATTATCAGAATTTCAGAGCTTAGAGGTCTAGACAGAGAGGCTTAGAATACTACAGCGGCTGGACATTCCAACATTGGCCTTCTTAGGATGAATTGGACCATGGAGACCAGATGGGACTGATTTCATTCAACGTGAGGAAAGGTGAGTCTGGTTGTCTGGAAACGAGCAGTTGCCACTCTTCAGGTAACTCAGGTGAGGCCAGCATTTGTTCCCTGGGCCTAAGGTTCCTACTCCTGCGTTATTTGTTTGGTTGGAACCCAACAGGCTTTGTAAGTAATTTGAGCGCCTGCTGAATTAGAAGCTGCAGTTCTACTCTCTGGCCAGCTGCAGTGGTGGTGCTGCAGAGCAATAGCAGTGTGGAACAGGAAACAGCAAGGCAGCAGTTCCTTCCTTTGACAAACTATCATAGAGGGTGAATCGTGTGCATATCTCTGGCAAAGTTCCCAGCTGAAGACCCAAATGCCTTGTAGGTGTTCAGTTCAGAATAATGTGAAACCTTCAGTTCCTAAGAACAAGGTGACCTCTGGAAAAGCAGAGAGTAATTTCCGTTGACTAGCTACATATATATTATGGGAGAGATTTGCATTAAAAAGAACAACTAAATGTGCCAAGGGATGGTATGAGAACTCTCAGGCTTGCAGCCACCACCTGCAGTTAACAAAATTTCATAGTGATTCTGTATTTATATCTGCATGTGTTTTGTAGGCTGTGTTGTGTAGTGGTTAGAGTGCTGGACTAGAACCTGGGAAACCACGCTTCGAATCCCACACCTTTTTCATTGTGGTAAGGATAATATGGGACGCGGGTGGCGCTGTGGGTAAAAGCCTCAGTGCCTAGGGCTTGCCGATTGCAAGGTCGGCGGTTCGAATCCCCGCGGCGGGGTGCGCTCCCGTTGCTCGGTCCCAGCGCCTGCCAACCTAGCAGTTCGAAAGCACCCCCGGGTGCAAGTAGATAAATAGGGACCGCTTACTAGCGGGAAGGTAAACAGCGTTTCCGTGTGCGGCTCTGGCTCGCCAGAGCAGCGATGTCACGCTGGCCACGTGACCCAGAAGTGTCTCCGGACAGCACTGGCCCCTGGCCTCTTAAGTGAGATGGGCACACAACCCTAGAGTCTGTCAAGACTGGCCCGTACGGGCAGGGGTACCTTTACCTTTACCTTTTAAGGATAATATGGAAAGGGGGAGAACCATGTAGGCCACCTTGAGCTCCTTGGAGGAAAGTGGATTATAAATGCAATCATTAATAAAAATGTACATCTGAAACATGCCATTACAACCCTATGCATAACTGACATGGTGTTCTGTTCTTGCTCTCTATTGTTGCTTAGATCCTTTGCTTAAGAATTAATATTAACATAAATTAAATGGTGGTGTGAGTGTGTGTAAATAATTTTCTATTTATTTGTGTGTGTGTGTGTGTGTGTGTGTGTGTGTGTATAATTATACCTTACTTTCTTCCTCCACAAGCGAGTTGCTCAAAGTGGCTTACAAACAGAAAATCAAATATTAAAAGCCAAAACAGTGACCCAACTATTAAAACAGAAATGATCCAACTAAAAACAAAGAGCTGTTCAACAGTGGAACAGACTCTTGCAAGAGTTGGTAGATTCTCCTCCCTTTGAGGTCTTTAAGCAGAGGTTGGATAGCTATCTATCTTGTAGGATTTAGTACAGATTCCTGCATTGCAGGGGGTTGGACTAGATGAGCTTCGCGGGTCCCTTCCAACTCTGCAATTATATGATTCTATGAAAACAGCAGCCAAAACAAATGAAACATCAAATAAAAGAATGGCGCTCCCAATTAAGTTTAAGAAGGCATGTTTTCAACTAACTGTAGAGCACAAGTAAGGAATAAGGGAACTCAAGTTCCTGAGGCAGGCGGTTCCACATAGGAAGATGCCTTGGACTGACTCAGACCATTGGTCCATCTAACTCAGTGTTGCCTGCATTGATTTCTGGTATGGGTCTCTCCTAGCCTTACCTGGAGATGCTGGGGATTGAACCTGGGACCTTCGGCATGCAAAGCAGGTGCTCTACCACTGAGCCATGGACCTTCCCCATATGAGGCACCACTGCATGGGATAGCCTCTCACGTCTTGCCATGCCAATGGCACATGCAAGAAGGACACAAGTGCCATTCCGAAAAGCTGGGCAGATTCACATAAGAGAGGAAGATGGTCCTTCAAGGAATTTGGTCCCAAGCCGTTTAGGACACTACAGTCATACCTCTTTTTACATTTGCTTCATGATGATACGTTTTTTCAGTTGCATCCCTCGGCGACCCGGAAGCACCACAAAGGGTTACTTCTGGGTTTCACTACTTGCACATGCGCAGATGCAGAAAATGACATCACACGCATGTGCAGAAGTGAAGAATCGTGACCCGCACATGCACAGATGTGGGTTGCGTTCCTTTCAGGTTGTGAATGGGGCTCCGGAATGGATCCCGTTTGCAACCAGAGGTACCACTGTATAGGGAAATAGCAGCCTCGTGCCTTGGGCTTTCCTTGGGAAATTCTAAAAAAGCACAAAAAATCAGTTCAGTTATGCAAGGCTGAGTGCACCTTCTTGATCCAAACAGTGCTCAGATGTATCCAGATATAGAGGAAAACCTGCTGTTGGAACTCAGGAACCTTTGTGCAAAATTTGGTGACAATATCTTAAGGCGTGTCCAAAAGCAGAGCAAACTGACCATTTCCAAACTATAGAATAGATACTCATCACTTTGAATTGCCCTTGGCTACAGATCAGAAGCTAGTGCATTAAAGGGGGTCACAAGATCTCGGCACTTTCCCCCAGGGTGCTGTCATATGATCACTATTTTGCAGAAAGAGTTCAGGTGCAAACCTGAAATTTAGGCTTGCTCAGTTAAAGTGGACTCAAGCATTCAGTTGCCCGGGTGCAACAAATCCACTCTGAAAAAAATACGGAGAGAGACTTTTGTGGTTAGGAAATTGCAAGGAGATGCATTGAAATGTGTGGGATGAACAACTGATTCATGGGAAGATGTGTAAGCACTGCACAAACTCAGGACGGGATGCCTATTGCTTACCTATTGCTATCAAGGAACTGATATTCAGAGCTACTGTATCTGATCTTGAAGGTATGGGGTGTAGCCCATAGATGTATGTGTTAGGTTGTGGGCGAACATATCAGACAACACAGCGATTCTTCCAAAGCAGCTCTTTATTTGTAAGCTGGAACAGAACTGAACTGAGGAGCTCAGTCAGCCTGCTTATATAGAGCAGTGTTTCCCAACCGGTGTTCCGCGGCACACTAGTGTGCCGCGAGACGTTGCCTGGTGTGCCGCGGGAAAAATTAAAAAATTCGAAAGATATCCAGAGAGGCGGCCTTCAGGCGAGTTTTAATTTTAATTTTCCTTCTCCCACTTAATTCCCCACGCTCGCCCGAGCAGCTTGCAGTCCTCGGTAACCACGGCGACCCGCGGGAGGGGAGGGAACAGGGAAGTCGAGGGTGGTGGCGAGCCGCGATGACGTCAGTGGGCCGCGCCGCCTCGCCCTGGCACAGTGTGAGAGCCCCGGCTAGTGGCGCGAGCTTCGGAATAAGTGGGATCCGCGTGCGCGAGACCGAGATCGCGGGTAAGGAGCTCAGCCCTGGGCAGGAGGAAGCGGGGCCGCGCGTGCGGGCCACATCCCCACAGAGAGCGAGCCTCCCCCGGCCCACCACTCCGGGCAGGTCCACTCGCATGAGGGGGCGGCGATGGCGACGGCCGGCAGCTTGCCTGCAATGCCATCCCTCGAGCAGGCGAGGAGCCCGGAGGCTACCAGATGCGAGTCCTCTTTCCCACCCTGCTCGGGAGTCCAGAGCACTTGGTCGCATTCAGGATCTAGAGTG